AAAAAAAAAAAAAAAAAAAAAAAAAAAAAAAAAAAAAAAAAGATTGATTTCTAAACACTTCACTTGGAGAATGTAATACTTTCTTCAGATGAGTCATCAGTGTTGTCACTGAACTGCTACATTAAACATGATTAAACAGCAATCATACTCGTGCAGGTCCGATGATCATGCCTGTCCACCGTGTGAGAGTCATATCCTCGTCATCCTCCAGACCCCAGCTCACCGTCCCATCACCGACACCCTTCTGTCCTTCCTCAAGCTCTTCCAACAAGCGAAAATTACGAGGGACTTTAACTCCTGCAAGAACCCAAAGACGATTTATGAACAATTAAAAACGGTGTCTCTGTAAACCCTTGTTTGCAGCTGGTTAGTTCATATTTGACATGTTTAAAATAGTTTTAGATGAAGTATAATTTTTATAAAAGCCATTTTTATCCGAGTCGAGTTCATATTAATCGAGTGACTTCATGCAATATTATTTATACTCTTAAAAATTAATGTCACACCGCAAAATATACACTTTTCCTTTCCTTATGCATTTATTATTAAATTTATGTCAAAAGTGTTCATCATTCAATTTCCTTCAGGGTTCCCACACCATTTGATCAATGAATCTCCGTTATTAAATTTTAAATATTTAAGAGCAGAGCATAGCTAGAAAAATGTATATTCACTGTAGAAAGATTTTCGATTTTATTTATTTCCATGACTCTTTCCTGGAAATCCCAATTATAAAATCTCAATTTTATTTTCCAGTTTTTCCATGCCAATGTGAACTCTGTTCACTGTACTAGTACAATAATAGCACGGCAAATGAACAGAATTAAACTGAAAAGATTCCTAATAATTAACATCTAATTTCACAATGATCCCAGAGTTTGTATATGTTCACAAACATTTCAGAGAGTTGCATATTTTATTTAATTGAGTTTCCTTTTTTTTTGTGGATGTGCAAAACCTATTATTTGAGGTACATTTTAATGCTTAATTTAAACATTATTTCATATGAAACCAACACCAGCTACTCTTTTTCTGTGAATGTGAAAAACCTCTTAAGATACAATTTAATTTAAATACTCAACCAAGACAAAAATGATAACATATGCACATT